ACCTTGGGAGATCTCTTGGAGCCTCGTCGGCCCTCTTGGGAGCTTCTTGGGGGCCTCTTGGATCCGATTGAGGGCCTCCTGGGACTTCCCGAGACCCTCTCGGGGTAGAAAGCTCGGATTCTCGGTTCGTGTTTCCCTTCTAGGTTCTAGGGCCTCTCTTGGAGCCGTCTTGGGGCCCTCCCGGGCCGTCTTGGGCGCCTCAGGCACCGCCTTGGGGCCCTCGTGGGCCGCCCAGGGCCCTCTTGGAAGCCTCTTCGGCTATCTTGGAGCTGTCTGGGAGGCCTCTTCCTCCTCCTCGTCCCCCTCCTCCTCCTCCCACTCCAGCTCTCTCTCCTCCTGATCTTCCTCCTCCTGCAGCGTGTTCCGGAAGGCTCCCGCCGGAACATGCTGTGCACAAGTGCTGTCACTGCTCCCGCCACCGTGCCCTGGGTGGTGGGTCAGAGGCCTCATGGGTGTTGCTTTGGATCTCGTGGTTGGCCTGTCGGGGACGTCGTGAAGGCAGTTTCGCAGCTTCTCGGTAGCCGTTTTGGGACCGTTGTGGGGCCTCCTCGGGGCTGTTTGGTGGCCTCTTTAGGCCTCGTTTGGGCCTCCTGGGTGCCTCGTGGGGGCCTCCTGGGGCCTCTTGGAGGCTCCTTGGGGCCTCCTGGGGCACTCTTCAAGCGGGAGGGTGGAATTTTGGAGTCGTGGTCCCCCTCTTGGGCGCATCTTGGGGCCGTCTTGGGGCTCTGTTGGGCTGTCTTGGGCGACTCTGGGGCCGTCTTGGGGCCCTCTTGGGCCGTCTTGGGGCGCTTTTGGGGGCATATTGAGCCGTCGTGGAACGTCGGACAGCTGAAAAGGCTGGAAGGCCAAAATCGGTCGAAAACCTACGTAAACTTGACGATTTCGGTCTCTGGAAGCGCTCTGGAGAGGCGTCTTGAAGCGTCGTGGAGTGCCTTGGGGGGCCTCTCGGGCCGTCTTGGGCATATCTTGGGCGTCCTGGAGCGGTCTTTCGGCGACTCGGCGCCCGCTTGGGCCGTCTTGGGAGCCTCTGGAGGCCCGCCCTCCTGGACTATTTTGGACCTCCCCGGCCGCCCCTCCTCCCATGGGGGGTCGGAGGCGGCGCCCTCCGAGGCCCAGGACGCGGAAACCCTTTGAAAAACACAGGGAACATGAGCCCCAGTACCCCCATGGAGGCTTTTCGGCGCTCTTGGACCGATGGAGGCTCGAAAACGCGAGAAGCCAAAAACATTGAAAAGAACGTTGAACATATGCGACTTTGGCCTCTCCGGGCCGTACCGCGATACCTATCAGACTTCTTGGGGTCTCTTGGAGGCCAGCTGGGAGCCTCGAGAGCCGTCGGAAGGCTGACTTGGGCTGCTCGGGAGCGTCTTGGGCCATCCTTTCGCATTCTGGGGGCTCCTGGGGGGCGTCTTGGGCCCTCCTGGAGTCCTGGAGCGCTGTGGAGACTGCCCAGAAAGGCTGGGGCAGCAGTGCCGGGAGCGTCCCCGAGATGTGGCCATATCTTTTCAGCGCGTTCCAGGAGCATCTTCCCGGAGCGCGCTCGTGGCAGGGCCCTCCACGTCCGAGGACGCTGGCATGGGAAACCGCAGCGCGTGATCATTCCAGCGCGTTCCGGCGAAGACCGTCCGGAACGCGCTTGGGCAAGCGCTGGGTTTGAGGAAGGCGAGTGGGAACCGTTCAGGCAGTTTGGGATGATCGGGGCAAGAGGCGGAAGCCATCCTCAGAAGACATGCAGTCTTCCTGGAGCCGTCTTGCAGAAAACAAAAGAAAAATGAGACCCTGCAGTCGTTCCTGGAGCCGTCTTGGAGCCCTCTTGGGCTGCCCTGGAGCCTGTTGGAGCCCTCTGCGGAATGGTCTTGGAGCCCGCGCCGAGGATCTGGAAAATGTCCGGGACCATCGCGGCGGCCTCCGAGGCCCGGGACGCCGAAACCCCGTGAAAACACAGCGAAAATGAGCCCCGGTACTCGCATGGAGGGTCGGGCAGCTGTTTTCGGGCCCCTGGGTTAGAACCATCGCGCGCGCTTCGCGCGCGCGCTCAGGTTCTAGCCCAGGCCGGGGGGGCGCTGGACGATCTTGGACAACGCTATCAAGCACAGGCGCGCGACGGCATCTGAGGATCTTCTGGGGTGTTCCGCATGCTTCGTCAACTGGCTGTTGGAGGCACCTCTTGGGTGCTTCTTGGGGGGGCGTCTGAGGGTCCCTTGGGGGCATCGGTTCTGCAATCTGAAGCCGTCATTGGCCGTCTTGGCTGCGTGGAGGCCCGACTTGAGGCCACCTGCGGCCAGATTGAGGCAATCCGGAAGCCTCCCGGGGGCCTCCTGGAAGCAGTTTTGACGCATCGAGGGTACTCTTGGGCTATTTGAAAGCCTCTTGGACGTCTCCTGGTGGCCTTTTAGGCCCTCGGGGAAGCTTTTGGGGTCCTCGTCGGACCACTTGGGGGCCTCTTGCGGCCTCCTGTGGGCCTTGTGGGGGGACCGCTCTGCTGTTGGGTCGCGTTCCCCTTCTCGGGCCTCTCTTGGGGCTCTTGGGGCCCTCTCGGGCCGTCTTGGGCGCCTCAAGCACCGTCTTGGGGCCCTCGCGGGCCGTCTTGGGGCCCTCTTGGAGGCCTCTTCCTCTATGTGGGAGCGGTATTGGAAGCCTCTTGGGCCGTCTTGGAGCATCGGGATGCCAAAAGGCAAAAAAAAACGTCAAAGCCCAATCGTAAAACAATGAGTTGTGCCTCTTGGGGCCACCTTGAGAGATCTCTTGGAACCTCGTCGGCCCTCTCGGGAGCTTCTTGGGGGCCTCTTGGATCCGATTGGGGGCCTCTTGGGACTTCCCGAGACCCTCTCGGGGTAGAAAGCTCGGATTCTCGGTTCGTGTTTCCCTTCTTGGGCCTCTCTTGGGGCCGTCTTGGGGCCCTCTCGGGCCGTCTTGGGCGCCTCAGGCACCGCCTTGGGGCCCTCGTGGGCCGCCCAGGGCCCTCTTGGAAGCCTCTTCGGCTATCTTGGAGCTGTCTGGGAGGCCTCTTCCTCCTCCTCGTCCCCCTCCTCCTCCTCCCACTCCAGCTCTCTCTCTCTCCTCCTGATCTTCCTCCTCCTCCTGCAGCGTGTTCCGGAAGGCTCCCGCCGGAACATGCTGTGCACAAGTGCTGTCACTGCTCCCGACACCGTGCCCTGGGTGGTGGGTCAGAGGCCTCATGGGTGTTGCTTTGGATCTCGTGGTTGGCATGTCGGGGACGTCGTGAACGCAGTTTCGCAGCTTCTCGGTAGCCGTTTTGGGACCGTTGTGGGGCCTCCTCGGGGCTGTTATGTGGCCTCTGTAGGCCTCGTTTGGGCCTCCTGGGTGCCTGTTGGGGGCCTCCTGGGGCCTCTTGGGGGCTCCTGGGGCACTCTTCAAGCGGGAGGGTCGAATTTTGGAGTCGTGGTCCCCCTCTTGGGCGCATCTTGGGGCCGTCTTGGGGCTCTGTTGGGCTGTCTTGGGCGACTCTGGGGCCGTCTTGGGGCCCTCTTGGGCCGTCTTGGGGCGCTTTTGGGGGCATATCGAGCCGTCGTGGAACGTCGGACAGCAGAAAAGGCTGGAAGGCCAAAATCGGTCGAAAACCTCCGTAAACTTGACGATTTCGGCCTCTGGAAGCGCTCTGGTGAGGCGTCTTGAAGCGTCGTGGAGTGCCTTGGGGGGCCTCTCGGGCCGTCTTGGGCATATCTTGGGCGTCCTGGAGCGGTCTTTCGGCGACTCGGGGCCCGCTTGGGCCGTCTTGGGAGCCTCTGGAGGCGGCGGCCTCCGAGGCTCAGGGCGCGGAAACCTTGTAAAAACACAAGGGAAATGAGCCCCGGTCCCGTCATGGGGGGTGGGGGCACCTGTCCCGGGGCCCCCGGCCTCGCCCCCAGGGTGTGTATATATATATATATGCATGCATGCATGCATGCATGCATGCATGCATGCATGTATGTATGTATGTATGTATGTATGTATGTATGTATGTATGTATGTATGTATGTATGTATGTATGTATGTATGTATGTATGTGCGTATGTGTGTATGTTTGTATGTTTGTGCGAGCGTGTGTGAATGTGTGTGTTTTTGTGTGCGTGCGAGCGTGTGCGTGGTGCGTGGTGCGCGTGCGCGTGCGCGTGCGCGTGCGCGTGCGCGTGCGCGTGTGCGTGTGCGTGTGCGAGCGGAGAAAGTCAGACTCCACATCGAGACGCAACGCCGATGCACCGGCGATGCGGCGCAGTCCTCCAACCCCACCTGCTCGGACACCACTCGGGAGGCAGGAGTTTTGTGGAGGCGGCGGGGGGCTCTCTCTGGATGGGCCCCCAGAAAGCCCGCTCAAACTCGGCTCCCGGACCCCTCCGGGGGTCCATTGAACTAAGGCAATGTTGGCGGATCCGTGTTTGACTTCTCAAGGGCCCACAACCTACCAGCCTCGAACGTATCCCTATCCCTAAGATTGACACGCCAAAAGGCGATGACAATCTCAGGGATGCGCCCTCAAAAAAGAAGGGAATCCCTAAGATTGGCATCTTGATGAGGAGGTGCCCAGCATAGGGATAGGGATATGTTCCAGGCTGGTAAACAACAACAGCCCCTGGAGACCGAAAGAGGCAAAACACGCCCCGCACTCAGCGCCTCGCACCTGGCCGGCCTCTTCCTGCTGGCCGGAGCCAGTGCTGGGCCACCTCAGACCCCCAGACGGGCTAAACATGAGGCTCCTCTCTACAGTCCGGGCGTTGACCTGAGGAACCCTAAGTAAGGAACGAGGCCCCGTTTTTCCACAAAATTGAACTTCGATCTCCCATCGAGAACATGAGGAAAACCTGAGGCAAGCTGCGAAACGAATGAGGAACACGGAGCCCCTCCCCAACGAGAAGGGTTTCTTCTTCAGCGACGCGACTGTACTCACGCGTGAGCCCCTCGGGGCCCCATCGGCGTCCCACACGCGCGCGCTTATTAGGCCTGTGCCCCCCCCTCTCTCTGGGCGTCGGGCGGCGAGGCGGAGGAGCGCGGGCGCGCCGGGCCTTCTCCAGCACGGCGGGCGCCGTCGGGGTGAACTGCCCGTCCTAGGCTCCAGCCAGGCGCCACAGGACACGACCGCGCCACCGTCCCCCATGCGGTGGCAACTCGCGAGACCCTCCGGTGCCATCCTGTTGGCTCTTGCGAATCGACGCGAGTCTGCGCGAACCGACGACCACGGGCGCTCAATCCACGCTGGTCGATGCCAAATCGGCGCCATCCCACCGATTGCCAGACGAGACGCTGCTCGGCGCGAACGCACTCCAAAGACACCATTGCTTACCAGCCTCGAACTTATCCCTGTCCCTAAGATTGGCACGTCAAAAGGCGATGACAATCTCAGGGATGCGCCCTCAAAAAAAAAGGGAATCCCTAAGATTGGCACCGTGATGAGGAGGTGCCCAGCATAGGGATAGGGATATGTTCCAGGCTGGTAACCAACAACAGCCCCTGGAGACCGAAAGAGGCAAAACACGCCCCGCACTCAGCGCCTCGCACCTGGCCGGCCTCTTCCTGCTGGCCGGAGCCAGTGCTGGGCCACCTCAGACCCCCAGACGGGCTAAACATGAGGCTCCTCTCTACAGTCCGGGCGTTGACCTGAGGAACCCTAAGTAAGGAACGAGGCCCCGTTTTTCCATAAATTGAGCTTCGACTTCCCCCTCGAGAACATGAGGAAAACCTGAGGCCCCCGTGATTTGCCACCGCCTCGCCATCGCCTGCCGTCGCCCACAAAGAAAAGCACGACGGGAAGCTTTCGGCTACGTTTTTCGGCCTCGGGGGGGCCGTCGCTGGGCCCGGGGGCCCTGCAAGAGCGAACCGTGGGCGGAGGGAGTGCTAAGCGAATGCAGTCGGGGCGTTGACCTAAGGAACCCCAAATAAGGAACGGGGCCCCTTTCTCCCATAAGTTGAACTTCGATTTCCCATGGAAAACCTCCGGAAAGCAGAAGGCAAACTGTAGAACAATCACGGAACACCGAGCCCCTTCCCAACGAAAAGGGTTCCTTCTTCGGGGCCCCGGCTGTAGGGGGACTATCAGTGGACGCCAAGGTGGGCTAGATCTCCCAATCAGTGCTGGCACTGAAAGGGCCCTAGGGGATGTTGAAAGATTTGGTTCAAATTTCCGGCCGAGTTCTGTGGGCGGCCGGGTTCCCAGGCTCCTGGTTCCCGGCTCCCGAGCTCCCAGTTGCTGGTCCTGGGCCGATTCCAGTGGGCGGCGGTGTTTCTCGGTTCCTGTGTTCCTGGGTTCCTGGTCGATCTCCTTATCTATCGATCTCACTATCGATCTCATTATCCACCTCTCTATCGATTTCACAGTCGACCTCACTGTAGATCGCACGAGCGATCTCACGATTTATCTCGAAATCGACCTCACCGAATCGACTTCACGATCGGTCTCACGATCGACCTTACTATCGTCCTCACTATCGATCCCACTATCGATCTCAATTTCCAGATCACTGATGTTTAAACCATTCACTGGTTGGGGTTTCTCGGGTGCAATCTGGCCCAAACTAGCTTCCAAATTGGTGAAACATACCCCAACTGGCTAAGGAGGGTTAGCGATCCGGGCTGAGTGGGTGCCGCCCACTTATCGGAGTTAGCTAAGCCCCCGAAAGCCACGTGGGGAATGTGTCACCCACTTATAAGCTAGGTCAGGCCAAATAATAACCACCTTGGCATCCACTTATAACCCCCGATCCCCTTGGCATCCCCCGGGCCATCCCAGCACCCCCTCTAGTTGAAAATCACCCTGCGACATACCCAACCCACCTGAATCCAGTGACCAAAGTCGTTGGCCCACATTGTTGATGGATGGTAGCAATACAAGAACCGCCGCTTGCTGCAAGTTACATTGGGTGCGCGCGCGTGGCACGACTCACAGGACAGCAACAGAAATACGATGAGCGAGGCTTCAGGCTCGGAGAGGAAGGGGGGCGGGACGGAGGGGCAGGAGAAAAACGGAATGGGCACCCACAAATCAACGCGGCAGCTGAAGGGAGACGGTGAAGGAGTAAGCGTGCTACAACGAGAGGGGAGGGGATGAGAACTGATTGTGGCGATTTTTCAAGAGATCGACATCGTGCACTGACCTCTGCGGGCCCCTCGATCGGCCCTGACGACCTGTCTCCACGCGACATCCCCAGCCCCCCAGAAGGCTCCAGCGGCCAAAAAATCTCAAAGGAAGGACAATTTCCATCTCAACGGCTCGTCTCTTCTGGCACGACCCCAAATGCGGTGCCAGCTGGGGGGGGCGGTCCTGTAAGCCTGAAGCCGCCTCCAGTTGGCCCCTGTAACAACTCCGGAAGAACCCGAGCAATCTGCGCAGGGAGAGCACCTGCACCCTCCACGACGGCAGACCACAACGCTAACGTTTGGAGCGCAACGTCAGGAAATATGGCATAATGACGGCAGCGGAAGCCGTCCGCACTAACAGCCGAGGCAGGCTTACACTTCTCAGAAATGGCACGAATCTCAGAAGGCCCCAAGAGGGGCGAGATGGGAAGGAAAGCGCCACCGCGCCACAACGCGAAAGGGCGGTCGTAGGGGCCAAAGCGGAAGTCTCTCGAATGGCTTTCTGCGCCTCCCCCCTTTGCACGAGCCCGACAGAAGCCAGTAGTGCCATTTTTTTACAGGGCGCCTTCGATGAAGTCACGTTAGCTTCCTGGGCTGCAGCCGCGACCTCCCCGATGAAATCGCCGAGGTCTTCGAGGGGCGCAAGGTCGCCAGGATCCGCGCGAGCAGACCTGGCTAAGCTGGCGGCGGCGCAGCAAATCTTGGCCCAGACCGAACCCGCGGCCCCAATTGCCGAAGCTGGGGGATGTCCAAGTGCCTCCAGAGCCTGGCGACCACCGACCTGCAGGACCTCGCCAAGGCAGCGCCTCACAGAACGCAGCTGGTTGTAGAGCCACAAAACGCCGCGCAAATTCCAATGCTTCGCGCGGCCCACAGGCCGCAACGCAGACTTCCAGATCAATTGGGGCCGTCTGCCCCTCATCCCAAAGCTCGAAATTTCCGCCCCCGAGATGCTGGCCAAGTCCTTTTCCGCAGCATCGGCCCAAGCCTTGTTTCTAAGGCTCAAAAGCCTGCTGGCTCTCTTGGAACCCCCAGGCCCCAGGGCGTCGAGCGCCTCCTAAGCGAGCGAGAGACCACCGCCCCACCCTCTTGGACTCGGGGCAGTGCCCAGAGGGGCATCCGCAGGCAGGACGGGGGGTCGACGGAAGGCGAGAGCCTTCAAGTCACCGAGATAGCTACGAAACTGCATGGCCACGGGCCTGCGCGGAGCGAGGGAGGAATCATCGACGACCTTCACATCCTCGAAGCACAACCCAAGGGCTTCAGAACAACAAAACAAGTCAAACCTGTCGGGGGGGCCGGCGCTGGGGAAATGAATGCGCCCGGCAGGGCTGGCAATGCGGGCCCCGAGCTTGCTGGCGAAATTGGCCCGTTCGGGCTCGTTGGGCCCAACGGCCCAATCCGCCCCCGCAATGAACTCACATCCCACACCATCCAAGTACCCCCCCCCAAGACACGAAGAATTTAGGTTAGCCTCCGAGAGACCTTGACGGCGGCGGAGGTAGACGGGGCAGCCGATGTAGGACGGGGCGCAGCCAGGCGCATGCACCATGACCGCCGCGGCCCTGCCCTCGACAAGACCTGCTCGTCGCACGTGGACATGCCGAGGCCGCCGCTTCGGGGGGGGGGGGGGGGGCAGAGACGCCGCGGCTTACTCCACCCCCGAACCCAGGAACTCCAAGAGGCCCAAATGTTCTTCCATCCACGGAAAAGCGATGACTCCGAGTCATGGCCAATCGATCCTTGATCAAGGAGCTTACGTTCCTGGGAGAGGACAACGCACGAGCCCGACGATTCCAAGTTACTCTTGGGGGTGCCTCGCGAGTAAGTGTCGACAGACGCTACCTTCAGACCGTCGTTGACGGGCAGAGCAGCTGCGGCGTCGGCACCTTCAGCTGCGGCAGAGCACGATGCAGCGGAAATGCCACGAGAAAACGCACCGCGCCGACACCGAGCTCGAGGGTAAAACAAAGTCGTTCAGATTAAAGAAACCGCGCGCCCAGCTCGCTCACGGGCACGCCGGGCGAGACGACGAAGAAAGCAAACGTTGGATGCTGCCTGGCCGCGCCAGGCAGAGGCAATCGAGCAACGGGGGCAGCGTCGCTGGACCCTGGGGCACTCGAACTTCCTCTGGGCGGAGCGGGGCCAAAGCGGGGGGCCTCCCCTGCAGAACTCCGGAGATAGCCTGAATGCGTTTAACAAGACGCACCCCAGTCGCCTGGACCCCAGAACCACTCGCCGAAACTCGAGAAGCCAAACAGTTACAGCTTCCCTGGAAGATTTAGAGCCTTGGCCTCGAATTGCAAGATCAATGGGCCCCACTTCGCGGGGCCGTGATGGGGGGGCCCGACTTCTTGCAGCGCTCCATCGGCCCTGGTACGAATGCCTGCCGTGGGAGGCTCGGGCGAAGACGAGGCAGCCGTGCTGCCAGCAGCGCCTGACTCAGGTGTGGCCTCATTAGCAGCTCCTGGAACAGGCTGGGCCGCGGCTGCGCGGTCGCGATCTCCTCCCCCAGCAGCAGCATCACCCTCCTCTGTAGTACGACGCTTCTGGCAGCGCGGGGTTCCTTGTCAGAGTCCGCCACCTGCTGGAAAAGCTTCTGCGCGAGATCCTGAATCCCAGACATCCGGGCCGCGCGGCGATTCTCAAACTCGACCTTGTCTGACTCGTCGATGTCCGCCCCGGCCGCAGCCAGGTTCTCGAGGAGGTCGTCCCAGTCGATGAACGAGCCGATGCTGACCCTGCCCGACACCAGGTCGCCGAGCTTGACAGAAGGAACAGCACGGGGTGGCGCTGCCTTGGCATCCTCGTCGTCTTTCTCCGCCTGAGGGTTGGACAGGGCGCCCTTGTACTCGGATCCGGCGGAGGCGAGCTGAGCCCTGTAATCGTGCAGCTCCTTCTCGAACTCGACAACTTGCGACTTGGCCTCCGTGGGGCGCTGCAGGTCCTTCTCCACGTTGGCCTCCCAATGCTGGACATCCGCGTGCCCCTTCTGAGTCGTGGCATGAGTAGACATGGGAGGCGGAAGACACGACTCTGCTTCCAGATGCTTCCCCATGATATCTGTACTTGTTGGATGCCAACAAGTCCCCCGCGTTGATGGACAGTTATGATAGCTGTCGAGTGCTCGGTGTGGACACACGAGGAACAGGGCACACGTGAAGAGGCGGGACTCCACCACCTGGTTGAATGTCTCCGAACGATGCTCGTTCACTGGTGAGCTGCATAGACATGGAAGGATTCCAAATAACCCAGCTCGCGTCAACGTATCCATGCCATAACTTCCTTTGCCTCCGAAACCCTGGCTACGTTTGCCGCCTGAGAAAGCGCCTTTCCCGTAGCCGTACATGCCGCTGTTGCCATGATCGTTCCACCACCCAGGAGGCAAAGTGCTTAAAGCCCAGGGACTGCCAGCTGCAGGGCCAAGAGGCCTGTCATCAGCCAAGCGCGGCAACGAGATACGACAATGCTTGCACCAAAGGGTTTCGAAGGGCATTGCGCTTGCATCCGCACGACGGACATGCAACACCTGTGGCTGGCGGCTTGCTTTTCTTGCTCCCTTTGGTGGCCCAGCCAGCATTTCCACTGCCATCGCCCCCAGACTGAACCCAGGGCTGCTAAGAGAGGCGAGAAGAAGGGTCTGGAATCCATCGGCCGCCGAGAGTACGGTGTAAATGAGGATGCCGTACACGAATCGTGATTTGAAGTGAGCCTGGCACGAGCCAGGAAAGCAGTTGGGGGCCGCAAAATCCCTCTCACCACCAGGTCCGACCCTGAGCGAAACGCTACGGACTTGAGCCAACATGGCTACGGACCTCCTCCTCCTCCTCGTCATCATCATGGTCATCACAATCCACCACAACAGTCGTCATCATCATCAGCATCATTAGCACCAGCATTATCATCAGCATAACTATTGATATCAACACCGTCAGCAGCAACATAATCAACATACTCACCATCTTCAGCATCAGCAGCATCACCACCAGCAGCAACACATTCATCAGCATCGACATCACCATCATCATCAGCACCACCATCATCGTCATTAACTGGTAATCATCACGATCATCGTCATCATCATCATCATCATCATCATCATCATCATCATCATCATCTGCATCATCATCAGCATCACCATCATCACCTCGATAAACATCAACACCACCATCATCATCAACATAACCAGAATCGTCATCAGCATCATCATCATCAGCAGCAGCAGCAGTTTCGCCATCAGCATCATCATCGTCAGCATCATCAGCAACAGCAACATCATTCGCCACCGCCCTTATCACCTGCGGCATCATCATCATCATCATCAGCATCATCATCATGCTCATCATGCTCATCAGCAACATCATGAGCATCATCATCATCACCACCACCATCGACGTCTTCCATGCTCCACCTCCTCTCTTCATTCATCTTGTCCCTCGCCCGCCCCGAACTCCTCGTCCCTGTCCGGCCTGCTTCCTCCCCCATCCTCCCCGCCCCACAGCGTCCTGCCCGTTCTCGCAATCGCAATTACAGCGATGGTCCAAGGCCGAGCAGCAGCAGACTGCGAGAGTCTATCAGGCTCAGAGCTGGACAGAGAGAAAGGGGGAGGGAGAGAGACATGGGAGAAGGGAGGGGGGGAGCATGGATGAGGAGCAGTGTAGCATCCTCGTCTTCGCGGTCGTGCTCGCCGCCGCCCCCTCGCCCCGTCTTCTCCCCCCGCTCACCCTCGGGCCCTCATCGGGCTCTTCCTGCTGCTATATGTGATGACCTTTCTCCGCCCTCCGCATGCTCGCTCCTGCGCATCACTTTCCGCTCCGCTTCCTCGTGCTTCGTCCTTTGCCTTCTGCTGCGCACGTTCCCCGCCCTCTTCGGACTCGTCCCTGCGCCTCCTCCCTCTGCTCTCCCTCCCGATCCTCGGACCCCAACTCAAGCGTCTACAGGCGTTTCAACTGCAGAAGCTTCTTCGCTTGGTTCGGGTGGCTTACAGTGCTGTCTTGAACGATCTCTCCATAATGCCACTCCAGCCTGGAACGTCTGCGTCGTGGTTGATGCGCGGTATGAGGATGCAGGGGCCTTGAAGGGTCATGTTGGCGTTTTCGAAGGGGGGTCTGCCAGCGAACGTCGCCGAGGTTGGGCCCAAGGGGCAAGGATGCAAGGGCAGCCTTGGAAAACTGCCCATCCTTACCATACGACGCGAGACTTGACCGTATCGCTAATACTTGGCGGTGTGCTCCCCGTCTGCGCTTCGGCCCCGAGATTGTTTCACAACCCGTGCTCCTGCGCCGGCGGCATCATCTCGTTACATATGGCAACAAGCTCCGGCAGAAACAGGTTGTCGAACACGCCGTCGCTGCCCAGCAGCACAATGTCACCTTAAGCGCCCTCCACCTCCTCCTCATGTTCCCCCTCTTCCTCCTCCTCCTCCTCCTCCTCCTCCTCGTCATGCTACTCAGCATCTGCATCATCCTCAGTAGCAGCATCAGCAGCAGCATCATCATCAGCATCATCATCACCATCACCATCATCATGATCATCATGACCATGATCCTCATCACCAGCATCATCAGCAACAACAAAATCAGAATCAACATCATCATCAGCATCGTCATCATCAACAACAGCATCATCATCATCATCATCATCGTCATCATCATCATAATCCGTCTTCCTCCTCCAGGAACTTGTGACCTCACAGCTGCAAGCTGCAATTCATGTGTTTCAGAAGACGGCGAGTTCATGACTCAAGACCGAAACACAAATGGGCTCTCAGAAATGTGGGCGCGCTGAACCGAGCTCCTCTCAGGCATCGAAATCGTTATCGAAACCACATGGTGACACGATCGATCTGAACAAACTGGCATTTGGTATCGTGTATTCCAAAAATGTGGAAAGCCAACAGCAACAGGATACCATAAAGAAACGGCACCAGATATACAGCACCACCCATCGAGCACCACTGCGAGAACACAACACGCGCAGCCATCCAAGGCATCATAGGACAGGCCGTAGAGCACCTCCCATAGAGTATCAGGGCAAGAACGCGAATATCGTAACCATCAAGAGCATCAGAGGAAACCAACAATAGAGCACCGCCCACAGAGAAGCAGGGCAAGAACGCGAAGATCGCAACCATCAAACACATCAGGGCGCAACAACCATAGAGCCCCCCCATACAGCACCAGGGCAAGCAAACGAAACATCGAAACCATCACGAGCAGCATAGGAAACCAACCACAGAGCCCCAACAGAGAACACCATGGCAAGAACGATACTCTCGCAAGCATCAACGGCACCGTAGGACACCAACCGCAGGGCCCCGACCAAATAGCAACAACGCATGAACGCACGAAACACATAGCCGCCAAAGACGTCATGGGGCACCACTATAGAACAACTAACCACGAATACCCGGGGAATCGCAACACTCCAATAACGGAAATCGCAACCCCTACTTCCAAATCCCTACCAAATAAAAGAAGCAACCCTCAGTGCAAGCACTGAGTGGGAACCCAAAACGATGACAATCCTGTTGGCAAACGGTCGACGCCTGAACAGCACGTCCCGTCATCGTGTGACAATGTAGCGGCAAGTTAACCGTACACAGGGCGTCAAACTGACTGATCTAGCTTCTCGAATGTTTTGGAAACCTTGGCGAACACTCGATTGAATTATTGCCGAACCCTGAGCCGGCCTTTTGAGAATCTCGCAACGACTTCCAGCGGATTCGCAAGCCAAACGGGGTAGGAAAGCGTGCGAGCGCTCCTGCGAGATGCGCACGGGACGCTGAATCACGACAACATCCGCCAGACTTCATGCCAGCCATCTGCACCACCCGACATCAGTTGTTAAACAGTCTCTTACCCTCCCACCTACGTCCATGCAATTGTGCAGCTCACGCCAAACTTCCAAGCCATCGGATGATGGCTCAAGGACTCGGCAGGTTCAACATTGGCGCGGCTGAGACCTGTCCACCTGCTGACCTGCCTCCTGGGGAAGACCTGTCACCCACCCTGCCAAGGGTGAGATTCGACGCTGCGAAACGCAACAGTATGATTCAACACGGGGAGGGCGTAGACCCTGGCACCTTCAGGCCAAAGCGCCAACGGGGTGGCGGCGACAACATGGCTTCATCAACCCGAAGCACTACCAGAAAAGAGCCAACCCTGCGGCAAACACACTGGGCCCACGATTACGGGCAGGAACTTCTGCTTGGTTTCTCGCGGCGACGGCCCTGGCGACACGCTATGCCTTGCAGGCGGGTAGCGTGTCGCTCTCCCCCGCGGGGCAGGAAGCTTAGAAAGGCTCTGACGTTGACGCCCCGGGACCGGGACGTGGATAGCGTGTCGCACCGAAGCGTGGTGGGCCAGGACCAGCGGCACGACACGCTCAGCAGAAGTTCCGGACCGTAGGCCATTGGCGTTTACCTCACGTAATGAAAAGCGGCACCTTCGAATATGCACATGCAGTGGACGGCGCTGCCCTTCTCGATTACGTCTATGGTCATCCTGTGCGAGGTTGTGTATGGGAGGGAAGGGGGGGGATGGGGAAAGAGAGAGAGAGAGAGAGGGGGAGGACGATAGAGAGAGAGGGAGCGAGAGAGCGAGAGAGACAGGGAGAGAGCGAGAGAGAGCGATCGAGACAGAGATGAGATAGAGGGAGCCTGTGATGACAATGCGGCCAGTTCTTCCAGGAAGGACACAGGCAGCGGCGTCGAACAGGGAAGGTAGCATAGAGGTTTTGCGAGGCGGCCCTTCCCAGGGCAGCCTCACTTGGAAGGATACATTCCAGGTTTGTGCCCGTGCTGTACGCGACGTGCGACCGAAACTGCGAACGGGGTACCGAAGCATTGCGCCTCGAATCGCGCATTTCTCCTACCCCTGCTTCTTGCGGCGGGCGGCAAACTAACTGTCGTATCGTATGCCGTGTGCCGTCGTGTCTTGTCGTGTCTTGTAGCGTCGGGTTGCATGGATTCGCGTCACGGGTGTCGTGTCGTGCCGTGAAATACGAACTGACATGTAACTAGACGTAGCTCCGAAGTACTACATACGCGCGCGCAACAAGGCATGACAGGCACTGCTCGTCGATGAACACCTCTACACCAAAGGCCAGACGTTCGTCGTACCAGCAAGGGGCATCGGTATGCAACACGTCTTCCTGGCATGGTACCATGACGAAAGAGTCGAACGCTTCGTAGCCCAGGGGTCTTCAACCGAATAGCCTTTACAAACTAAAGAGGCACTCACCTCGCCCACTTCGCTTGGCGCAGCGATTGTACACCAGAACGTACACAGCTGCCCGACGATAGAGGCAAGGTAGGCAAGACGACGACGACCACGAAGACGACAACCATGACGGCGACGAACGGAATTAAGTCACAAGTGCGCATGAAGTGGCTCGCCTAAGATTCACGAGCAACGATTGTCAACGCATCACACGGCGACACATGGCACGGCGCCCTCTGAACAGCAAAATGACAACGGATGCGGGTCAGTCCTCTCATCGAATCCTTCGTATACCCGATCGTCTACACGAGCCACCTGGACGGCACAAACTCAATGCTGTCATAACAAGCTACCCGGATGCTGCACAGCTGGACCCAGGACCGCAGAGCACCCTTAAAGAACATGGCACCCTCCGCCAATCAAACGGAAGAACATTCGAGGGTGCCTCCTTCAGGATGCAACAGACCATCCAACAAATATGGAGAACATCAAGGTACCCTCCCCGATCCAACCTCGATCTTACCCCTCGGTCCGACCGTGTGCCGAGGTGATGCGAGCAATGAACGCTACGATGCTACCGCTTGAATCGCCAACCATCAATGACCCTGGCTGGCCAGAGGCCACACCAACCGTGCGTGGCACGGCCGTTCGCCAGGTTTGCGGGGAATGCAAAACAAGCAGCGCACGAGGAGGAGAAAGAGGAAGAGGAGGCGCAGTGCATCTGCCCTCTGCGTCAGCTGATGCCCCCCCCTCATGGCCCCATCATCCACACATCGCACATCCAGCACGAAAGGAGATCAAAGCAAGAGGAGCAGGAGGAGGAAGAGGAGGACAGAGTACGAAACCCAATAGCAACCGCACGAGTTCAGGCAAGGGAGTGCAGGCAACAGGCACAATAGGACATGGACTCGCTTTCACAACGCGCTTCCTGACATTTGTGGGGCTCGACGGCACGTGTGGAAATCAGCAAGACGGTTTGCGAGACTCTGGGGAAGCCCGCAGGCGCCAAAACGCTGTTGGGTCGCGGGTGGGGTGCGTCGCGGGGTGGATCGCAAATGGGTCGCGGGTGGGTCGCGGGTGGGTCGTGGATGGGTCGCGGGGTGGGTCGCGGGTGGGTCACGGTGTGGGTCGCGGGTGGGTCGCGGGGTGGGTCGCGGGTGGGTCGCGGGTTGGGTCGCCGGTGGGTCGCGGGATGGGTCGCGAGTGGGTCGCGGGGTGGGTTGCGGGGTGGGTTGCGGGGTGGATCGCGGGGTGGGTCGCGAGGTGGGTCGCGAGTGGGTCACGGGTGGGACGACGACAACACACAACAACAGCAGCAGCAACAACAACAACAATCATGTCAAGACTGTTCGCTCTTATTGGCACGCGTGTCTTGCATTCCGTATACCCCAACCCTCGATACCAGTCCACTTCGTCTTCGATTGCACCCCCTTTCGGGGAGAATCTCTTCCTTGTCGGCCACTGACTGAAGTGCGAAGACGTCTCGAGCGAGAGCGCGGTTCCTGACTTTGGGGGCCGCTCTGGCCAAGGGCTCTCGGAATACCGATGGAGAATTATCCTGCGACGTACCCAACCCTTTCTACACAAGTGGCAATTGCATTCAGGACCTCTCAATACCGAAGGACATTTCGGCGCCATGGTATAGTGGTGATCTGCGTAGGACGTACCTCCGCTGAGCCTACCAGAAAACCATGCGCGCCAGGTGAGCCAAGTGCGCCAGGTGCGCCAGGCGCGCCAGGTGCGCCAGGTGCGCCAGGTGCGCCAGGCGCGCCAGGTGCGCCACGTGCGCCAGGTGCGCCAGGCGCGCCAGGCGCGCCAGGTGCGCCAGGACGGCCAGGCGCGCCAGGCGCGCCAAGTGTGCGCCATGTGTGCGCCAGGTGTGCGCCCAGTGTGCCAGGTGCGCCGGGTGCGCCCAGCGCGCCAGGCGCGCCGCACCTGGCGCGCCAGGTGCGCCAGGTGCGCCAGGACGGCCAGGCGCGCCAGGCGCGCCAGGTGCGCCAGGTGCGCCAGGCGCGCCAAGTGAGCCAGGTGCGCCAGGTGTGCGCCAGGTGTGCGCCAGGTGTGCGCCAGGTGCGCCTAGCGCGCCAGGTGCGCCAGCTGCGCCAGGTGCGCCAGGTGCGCCAGGTGCGCCAGATGCGCAAGGTGCGCCAGGTGCGCCAGGTGTGCGCGCCTGTTGCGCCATGCGTGCCAGGTGCGCCAGGCGCGCCAGGTGCGCCAGGTGTGCCAGGTGCGTCAGGTGCGCCCACCGCGCCAGGTGCACCAGGTGCGCGCCAGGTGCTCCCAGCGCGCCAGGCGCGCCAGGTGCGCCAAGCGCGTCAGGTGCGCGCCAGGTGCGTGCCAGGTGCGCGCCAGGCGCGCGCCAGGTGCGCCAGTTGCGCCAGGTGCGTGCCACGTGTGCGCCAGGTGCGCGCCAGCAGGTGCGCCAGGTGCGCCAGTTGCGCCAGGTGTGCCAGGTGCGCCAGTTGCGCCAGGCGCTCCAAGTGAGTTAGGTGCGCCATGTGCGCCAGGTGCAAGAGGTGCGCCAGGTGCGACAGGCGCGCCAGGTGCGCCAGGTCTGCGCTAGGTGTGGCAGGTGCGCCAGGTGCGCCCAGCGCGCCAGGTGCGCCAGGTGCGCGAGATGCACCAGGTGTGCCAGGTGTGCGCCAGGCGCGCGCCAGGTGCGCCAGGTGCGCCAGTTGCACCAGGCGCGCCAGGCGCGCCAGGTGCGCCACGTGCGCCATGTGCGGCAGGTGTGCCAGGTGCGCCCAGCGCGCCAGGTGCGCCAGGTGCGCGCCAGGTGCGCCCAGCGCGTCAGGTGCGCGCCAGGTGCGCGCCAGGTGCGCGCCAGGTGCGCGCCAGGTGCGCGCCAGGTGCGACAAGTGCGACAGGTGCGCCACGTGCGTCAGGTGCGCCAGGTGCGCGCCAGGCGCGCCCACCGCGTCAGGTGCGTCAGTTGCGCCCAGCGCGCCATGTGCGCGCCAGCTGCGCCAGGTGCGCGCCAGGTGCGCAAAGGGGACAGGGAGGCCTCAAAGTGGTCTGCGTAAGACGTACCTCCGCTGGGCCTCCCAGGAACCCACGAAAGTGGCGACAGTTGCGCAGATCGCAGCCCCGCAGGGGACAGGGAGGCCTCAAAGTGGTCTGCGTAAGACGTACCTCCGCTGGGCCTCCCAGGAACCCACGAAAGTTGGCGACAATTGCGCAGATCGCAGCCCCGCAGGGGACAGGGAGGCCTCAAAGTGGTCTGCGTAAGACGTACCTCCGCTTGGCCTCCCAGGAACCCACGAAAGTGGCGACAGTTGCGCAGATCGCAGCCCCCCCAGGGGACAGGGAGACCTTAAAGTGGTCTGCGAAAGACGTACCTCCGCTGGGCCTCCCAGGAGCCCACGAAGTGGCGACAATTGCGCAGATCGCAGCCCCGCAGGGCACCGCGAACACAGGAGAGAAGGAGGAGAGGGCGGGAGGTGGATACCACAATGCTCTATTCAAAACGAGT